GTGGTGGGTGGGAGGGGAGGAACCTGCCCGGGGTCGATTCACCAGAGTGCAGGCAGCGAGCAGGGTGGGTGGCCCGGGGGGAGGGGGGAGGGGGCCATCCAAGGGTCCTGTTGAAGGCACGGCTCTAAGGAACCTCCCACTGACGGCCTCATGCCTCAGCGTCGTGTCCTCTGGGCTGCAGGAAGGACCTTCACCTGGACCAGGTGGTCTCTACCTGGGGAGACTCTAGAAAGCTGGAAGCAGACAGAACAGGAGCAGCCTGACTATCTGCCAGAGAAGATGCACCCACAGCCCCCGGGGCTCCTCTCCTGTGCAAGACCTCTCCTGTGCCGCCAAGTTCTCCCTCTGGAGGGTTCAAGGTCATGGGGACGGAAGCAGGGCAGCCATGCCTCTCCCCTCACCCACAAGATGTTAATCCTCCCAAAGCTGTAGGCCGCTGTCTCCTTTGGGACAACTGAGTCACCGAGGGAGAAGAGAGGCCTCTGGGTAGTTTCAGGCAGGACAGGTGCTGCCGGCCCCTCCCAGCTCCCGTCCCTTTGGGTCTGTGCCTGGTGGAACCAGGGGCTTCTTGGCTCTGCTACGGGGGCAGAAGGCAAAAGGGAGAGGGGCGAAGGGAGGCCCGGGGCGGGGGTGACGGGAACATCGGGCAGAATCCTCACAGATCAGAAAAGAGGAGGGTCAGCCCTGGCTGGCGTAGCTCAGTGAATTGAGCGCAGGCTGTGAACCAAAGCATCGCAGGTTCGATTCCCAGTCAGGGCACGTACCTGGGTTGCAGTCCACGGCCCCCAGCAACTGCACATTGATGTTTCTCTCTCTCTCTTTCTCCCTCCCTTCCCTCTCTAAAAATAAATAAATAAAATCTTAAAAAAAAAAAAAAGAAAAGAGGAGGATCAGTGACTCTTCCCGAAGCAGCTCCCCGTCACGTCTCCGCCCACCACGAGGGGGCCACAAACTCGGGGCCCACTCACCCCGAGCGCAGCGTCACCGGGGGGTGGGGCGCAGCGGACCTGGGCTCCCGCTCCCCTGACCCAGCACCTCCCTCTCCCGATCCTGGCCCTGTGCACCCCCGCCCCGCTGTGCGCTCCAGAGTGGCCAGCCCCCCATCAGCTCCCAAAGCCCCGGAGGATGGAGGCACAACTGTCCAGTCCAGTTACGAGTGAAGGGCACGGATCGAGTGCAGGCCACAAAGGCAGTGGGCGAGGAGCCTCCCACGCAGGCCCAGACACACACACACACACACACACACACACACACGCCCACCCACCCAGACACACCCTCCCTGGGGCTCAGCCCAGTGTTTTGATGCCGGCAGACACACCCTTGGAGCCAGGCAGAGGCACCAGCTATCTGCTTAGGACATTCCTGTCACCCCCTACAAGACGTCACTGGCCTGCTCCTTCCTGTCACTCCCCCTGGAGGTCAGGCCTCCCCAGCTTTCCTGGAGGGTTGACCTGGCCCGTGCAGCTGGGAATACGTTGCTGGCACAGGCAAGCGCTCACGGGGGGGCCCCCTGCAGCTGGCTGTGACAGCCTCATGCTCGCTCCGGCCAGGCCAGGCGTCTGGCCTGCTGTTTGGGCTGTGCGGCGCCTGCCCAGGGGCTTGGGGGTCACTCCGCTGCCACAGCATCATTCCTGGGACTGCCAGCCGCATCCTGGCCCAGGCAGATGACACCAGGGCCCAGGAGAGTGGAGCCTCACAGCAGAGACACTGGGAGAAGGGACAGTGGCCCAGGTCATTTCAGATGGGGCACCTGGGGCAGGTCACACCGAGAACTGTGCAAAGACTTGCCGTGTGGAGAGGCTGCTGAGGCCGGAGGCGGCGCTGGGCCCGTGGAAACAAGGAGGTCTTAGACAGAACCGCCGCTCGGTTCCGCGTGTCCCGGCGCACGCGAGAAGATCACGCAGAAGCGCGGCCCTCAAGAACAGAGATCACATCCAAAGCCGCGGCGAGAGGAACTACATGAGCTTCCAGGCCCAGCCTCAGACCCTGCACAGAGCCCACGGTGCGAAGGCACAGACAGGCTTTGGTGCACAGTCTCGGGGCCGAAAGGACAGTGAGCTTGGGAACCCTGCTGAAAACGGCGTTGGAAGGCCCTGGCTGGCGTAGCTCAGTGGATTGGGCACAGACTGCGAACCAAAGCATCGCAGGTTCGATTCCCAGTCAGGGCACATGCCTGGGTTGCAGGCCACGGCCCCCAGCAACCGCACATTAATGTTTCTCTCTCTCTTTCTCCCTCCCTTCCCTCTCTAAAAATAAATAAATAAAATCTTAAAAAAAAAAAAAGGTGTTGGAGACAACCAGGCCCCTGGCCTTCCCGCTGTGTGGTGCTGCCCAGAGATGCTAACCCACTGAGACGAGCTTTCTCAGCGCCCAGGAGGGTGCTTCTCCCCTTAAATGCACAGGAACCTCCGAGAGGCACGGGTCCCTCCTAGCACTGCCAGACGTGAGGAGGAAACGAGGGGCCGCTTGCCGGGGCGTCTGGGACGCTGGAGCAGCTCCGGGGTCTCTCCAGTGCGTCCGCAAGCCGTGTGAGCGCTCCTCCCTCTGGGCACTCAGACTCTGCCCCCCTGCACGTCCGCCTCGAAGCTCAGCCACGGTCTCTCATGCCTGTGGCCGCAGCAGCCTCCCCTCTCCCCTCGCCAACCCCCCATCCAGCCACCTTTTTAAGATGAAAATCAGATCCCTTGGTCTCCCTGTTTAAAACCCTTCCGGCATCTTTCTGTCACCCAGCGAGTAAAACCCCAGATTTCTCTGGTGCACCTCAGCCCTACGTCCCTGGCCCCGACTTGCCCACCACCGGGCACTGGCGCCTCCATCTGCTCTCCAAACGTGCCGAGCTCATCCCGCCTTGGGACCCCCGGGCTGGGCGTGCTTCCTCGGTGGGCGTTCGTCCACCCGCCCTCCAGGCGGCGGTCCACTTCCTCCCCTTCGCTGTCAGCTGTCACCCGCCCCGTCACCTCCCACCGCCTCGCGCCATGTCCACTCTCCACGGGCGGGTTCCTTCTTCTCCTCTGGGTTTGGTTATCGCCCACGTGCCCAACCGGAGCTCCGGGGGAGCCAGGGCAGTCTCGCCTGCTCTGTCCCCAGTGATCGGTGGCCCCCAGGCCCCTGGTAACTGACGGCTCAGTAGGACCGACCGTCTGTGGCCCGGTGGGACGCGGGAGAGTCTGAGGAGTAGACAGCCCCACCGGCCAGGCCCGGGCACAGAGCCCCTCACCCTCCAGTGTCGAGAGGCAGGACGCCTCTGGGGCCTTGGGGCGGTCCCCCTGCCACAGAGCACCCGGTACCTGGAAAGGGCTGGGTGAGCGAGGAGCAGCTTGGTCGCAACAGTCAGTCCCTTTCTGAGCTCCCAGAGTCCCCAGCACGCAGGAGTCCCGCGGGGCTCAGGGAGCCCATGCCCTAGGCCAAGTGCAAATCCCAGCTGGCACGGCCCCGAGTGGCAGCACGGAGTGGAAACTTCGGAGAGGAAGCAGCGAGTGGGCATGCGTTGCCAAGCGAACAGAGAAAACAGGAGGCCTAACAGCACCGGGCGAACGTGCCCCCTCGACCGGTGGCCACGGGCACAGGCGGGGAGCCCGCCCAGGGCTCGAAGGCACGGCCGGTCCCGGGACCTGTGCTTGTTGGGGAAGTGGAGTCGGGGATGAACAGCCCTGGAAGGTGCAGGCGTGCAGTTCTGGGGCCGAACCCAGCAGGACGGCAACCAAGAGTCCCCATAGTTCCCCGTCTCTGCCCCCCACCCCCCTCCCCCCACCACAGCAGCGGCACAGCCTAAGTGCAGACAGACCAACGCATGCTGGACGCCAGGACCTCAGCCACAGGGCCACCCCACGAGGTACCCGAAGGCCTCATTTGCATCTGATTTGCAAATCCCTGGGCTGCAGCTACCGGCTGCTGTTAGTCCCCGAGGCGGCAGGGCCTGAGACAAAGCTGGCCCATGGCTCTGGGAACCTCTCAAGCCCAGTGGGACACCAGGGCTTCGTCTCTGCAAGTGCTTCCTCCTTGCAGTGTCAAAGTCCAGAGGTGCAGAGCCTGGCCACAGAGGGAGGGGCAGGACACGCCCGCCTGCGGTGCCCGTGGGGGCGGTGGGGGGGGGAGCGTGCTGGAGGGGGACCCGGATGCTGTCTGGCACCCACCAGAAGAGCGGCCCCCAGCCTCGCCCTCCCAGCCATTCTCTAGGCCGTCTGCCCCAGCCCCCGCTCCAAGGCTGTGCCCATCAGTTTGACCAACACAGAACCCTCCTAGGCCGGTTCCCTCGGGAGCTCAAGAGAACACTGAACAATGACCCATATGTGATCAGCCACCGGTGCGTGTCAACCCCGCATCCGGAAAACCCTGTGTGATCCCTGCAGGTAAGTAAGTATCTGACAGGGTCAGGGCCCCGTGGACTTCCCATCCCTGGCATCCGAGACCTTCCTTGGGCAAGGGGCGATTTTCACGCCTGTACAAAAAGACACCTGTGGCTTCTCTGAGGTGGGTCTTGCCTGGGCTGGAGGCCCCCCCCCCGGGGGAGCCCCGACAAGCCACACGGGAGCTCAGAGCAGAGCAGCGGCCTCTGGCCATGCAGACGGGCTGGACCTACTGTTCCCAGAGGTGACACTGAGAAATGGCCAGGTGCTTAGCTCTGGGGGTGGGGTCTGCTTGCTGGAGCCCGGGCCTCGCCTGGAATCCCTGCCCGCTGCCTGCACCACTCAGTGGGGCGGCCCACAGGATTCTCAAAGGTCGGTTCTGCCGATCTCTTTATGTTATGGGTGGGGGGGCCCAGCTCCGGAGAGGGGAGAGCAGCGAGAGGGCAGCCAAGCCCGGGCCCGCTTGCAGGTGTCCTGGGCTCCTCTCTCAATCCTGCATTCTCTGGCTTTCACCTCGGGTGCCTGAGCTCCCATCGCCCAGGTCAGAACGCACTGGGAAAGGCCTAGGCAGTCCCTCCCCGAGCCCCCAACACTGGCCGACCACAGCCCCTACCCATAATTCCCAGGGACGTGTTGGGAGTCGTAAGCAGCTACCTTTGTGTCCCAAGGCGCCGGGGTCCGAAGTCCATTCCAAAGCACCCCGGCGAACAGCAGGACCCCTTCTGCAGGAGGGGGGCAGCGGAGGTGGCCGGAGAGGCAGGTGGGCTGGAGACGGGCTTTGCCTTCGCTCAGTGAGGTCCGCTCACCTGCCAAGGTGAGAAAGGAAAACGGATCATTAGGCTACAGTGGAGACCCACAGAGCTACTCCAGGGAGAAGGGCAAGGGAGGGTACAGTTCCGGCACCTTGCGCAGCGACCCGCCAGCAAGGCCAGAGAGCCTCGCGCACCTGCCCGCCCGCCAGCAGACGGCACGGCGGTAGTGAGTGCCCGGCCTGACCCCACGGCCAATGCATCTTTTGCACAATTAGTAGCTGATTGCTAGTTGTCACACCTAACAACAACAACAAAAAATCAAACAGGTAGGCGCAAGAATAGACCGGTCAGGTGTCACCCCAGGCAACAACGAAGGGGCCACACCCAAAGCTTGCACCAGGGGGTGAAAGGTCAGCCTGGCAGTGGAACCAGCCAGCACTGGAAAGCAGATCAGACCCGGACCCGGGCAACCGACCCGACCCTTGGGCTCCCCGACCTCCCGCTGCCTCGAGACGTTCCCCCGGCCAGCACCCGGCGGCTCCCATGACCCCCCAGTGGCCTCATGCAAGCTTCTAAAAATGGCATCAACAGGTGTCTCTGCTGCTACGTGGATGGAGCGAGCGCTTGGTGTCTCCTCTGTTGCTGTCCCCTCCCCGCTGGGCCCTTTTCCCTCCCAGGGAAGACGAGGGGGCGTGCGCAACCCCCCCCCCCGACAGGGGGCTTCCGAGGTGCATTTGTTGTAGGGCTGGGGCTGAAAAAACGTGGCCCAAAGAGTTGGTGCCCAGCTACCGGCAACCTTTGTATCAATGTAAGAAAATATTGTGGTGTTTCCATGGCGATTCCTGTTTTGAATATCCACTCCACTCACTTTTTAAAGGGCTTTTCCTGTTTGTGTTTCAACTTCAAACCTGTAAATATTGTCAGCCTTTTCAGAAAAACGAGCCCGTGTGTGTGCAAACACACAGGCGGCTACCAACCTCGGCGCTCGGCCCACCGGGCCTAGCAGCCCGGCCTCCTGGACATGAGAGCCGGCGGGGTGGGGGGCCCAGGGGGGCCTCTGTCCACTCTCACGCCTCCCCTGCCTACATCAGGGAGGGAGGGGGCTGAAATCCTGGTCCTGCCCGCCCCCTCGGCCCGGGCATTGCAGCATCCACAGCGCCTGCGTGTTCCTGCTGCGTGTGAGTGGGCTCGGCCCTGATTCCGCAGTGTGGCATGGTGTGGGCAGCTGCCCGGCAGGTTCTCCAACCCGGCCCAGCCCTCGGGTCCCCCAGGGCCTCCCCGGAGTACACGAACCCCTCCTCTTCTGCCTCCCAAGGTTGGGCCATAAGTGGAAGGCGGGGTTGGTGCTTTGAAGGCGAGGGCTTCCAGCTCTACCCCACCTCCGCTGCAGGGCAACGCCGCCAGCTCCCGAGAGGGAGCCCGGGCGGGCGGGGGGGGAAGGCGGGCAGCGGGGGGTCTGGGGCTCGGATGGGCCAGCTCCCACCCCACCCCGCGGCAGCACACAGGGTTAACAGCGGGTTTCCTGGTTTCCATGGATTCCCGCCAGGCCCCTAATGTGAGTTTCGTGTGATTTGGGGGAAGTGGATTTCCTTTGTTTTCCAGTTTGGGAATATTTTTTTTCTTTAAAAAAGAGGAAAAAACACTTTAATGGGAACTTCAGGGCCACTGGGAGACTCACTCGTCTGGGCCCGGACACTCCCTGGCTTGCTGGTCCAGATTCCCCCACCGTCCTGGGCAGCCCACCCACCGGCCGAACAGGTCTGAACTGAAGGAAGGGGTGTCACGGCCCACCTACAGCTCCCCCTTGCCTGGACCGCTCTTCTGTGGGGGCCAGGGCTCTGCCCTAACACCCATCAGCATGACCCCTGCCCCCCCGCCCCGCCGACAGCCAACGTCTTAGACAGGCGGCTGACAGCCCCCAAGAGCACACACGTTTCCCCAGAGAAAGGGTCAAGGGAAACACCCCACCTCCCTGGCCCCGGGCAAGGGGCTGGAGAGACCGGGGTCCGATCACACATGAATATGGTGAACATGAGTGTCACCAGGGTCCTATGTCCTGGCTCAGAAGGGGGTCCCAGGGACGGGAAAAAGGGTCTTGCAGGCCCTGGTGAGGCCCCTGTGCAGCCTCCTCCAGCTGAGGGACAGGCATGCCCAGGGCAGCAAGATCAACTGAACAAAGGGTGTGGCCCGGCCGCCTCCTCCTCCTCCTCCTCCTCCTCAGTCTTCCCCATTCCTGCCATCCTCCAGCCCTGCCAGGGTGCGGCCTCTCTCAGGGACTGTCCCCAACCAAGTGGCCTGACCCACTTACCAAACCAGGGCACGGGCCCCGGGGCCTGCCACGGACGGGGCCCTCCCACAGCACAGGCCCCAGGGCTGCGGCAGCAGCCGGCACCGGGGCAGGAGACGCAGAGCCCGGAGGACCGAGCTCTCTGGCCCGCAGCTCCGGGGGGAGGCGTGGGAGCCCCACGCAGGGGCAGAAACAACACCAGGCTGAGAGGCCAGAGCCCCGGCTCCGGCTCCGAGTCCCAGCCCTGCCTCTCGGACGAGCCATGTCACCCCCCTAGGGCCCAGTGTCCTGACTGCTGGGGGTAGACTGCACCTTCTTCCCCGCTACCTCCCGGCGGGGGGGGCTGGCGGTGGCGGGGGGGTGGGGAGCGGGGGAGACCAACAAGAGATGTCAAAGGCGTTAACAGTGCTCCGGAAATGTCCCGCCCTCTTCCTCTGCGTCTCCACAAGGTGCCCCCGCAGAATCTACCCCAAGCGGCCCATGCGCCCCTCTACGCCGCTGCTCCTCCTGCCTCCTTCCTGGTGGCACCTTAAATCCACACTCGGCGACAGTCCCTGGTTCACGAGTCCCTGTCTCCACCACTGGGTTTTTAACGTCCTCACGGGCAGAGATGGCCCCCATTGTCCGCGAGGCCCCACCGTGGGCAGCGTGCGCGTTTGTGGGGCTGAACCCGCGAGCTCACGCCAGAACCGGATGGGCCTGCGCCGCGCCATCCCTCTCCCACGACCGAGGACGTCATCGGGACTCGATTTTCACCCTCCTTCCTCCTCGGTGGCCCAAGCCCCAGGCTGCACCTTGGTCCCTGCCCCTCCCCCATCAGCATCAGGATCAACACCTTTCCGGGTCAAGGGGACTGACTGCTGGGTTTCTTGATCCTCCTCCATCTGATTCCGATAAGAACTGACTGAGCACCTACTGTGTGCCGGGGAGCAATCTGGGCGTGGAGAGCCCACTTGGAGGAGGGGCTTCTGCCCTCGGCTGGCAGGCCTGTGTGAGGACCGAGCGCATAAACTAACTGGAGTCCTCCGATGGGCCTTGCTAAGTGGTCACACCGAAGCCACACGAAGCAAGGACCCTGGTCCCTGTGGACGGACCAGGAAGGGCAGGCACAGAGGCACAAAGTGACGTGCCAAAGGTCACCGCTCCCCAGGGCTGCAGCCAGGCCTGGACGCGGGGCGGGCGGGCGGGCGGGCTCCAAGGCCCAACTCCCTTAAAAGCCGCCTCTCCGGCCCCTCCCGGACCTCGGCCCCCACCCACACCTAAGGCCGCTTCCCCTCCTGAATCTCAGCTCTGCCCCCCAGATAAGCCCCCCCCCTCCCCAAACCCCAGAGCCACCAGAAAGCACCTGGAGCACGACCAGGGGGAGGGCAAAGGCTGCACTTGGGCGCTTCCTCCTGGCTGGGCTCCAGGCGCACGAAGGCAGGTCCTGTGGCGGCACCGCACCTGGCAAGGGGCGCCCCCTGGTCCTGCCTGGCAAACGGAGTCCCGGCTGTGGGGACGGCCTTCCGGATGGGGAGAGGGCTGAGCTGCCTGTGGCTACCTGTCGTCTGACACGACGGGGACGAGAAGGCCACCCGGGGAGAGGGCCACTCTGAGGGGCGAGGTTCCGTGGGGCGGGACCGACAACTTCCACTTCCCCTCTCCAGACGTGGGGCAGGCTCGGGGCTTTTTCCTGGGGCGGGGGTGGTGGGGACAGAGATGCTCCCGTCTCCCCACCCCCATCGGGACCTCCCACTGCCAGGCCAGGAGCATCTGCCTTGGAGACTCGGGATGGAGAAAGGGGCCGTGGGACCCTGCGTGAATGTGTACGGAGGGGGCGCCCGTCACCCCCCCCCCAAAGGAGAGAAGACTCGGGGAGGCGGCGGGGAGAGACCTACACGGGGAGGACCCAGGGGTGGGAGAGCAGGCGGGGGGTGGGGGGGGCGGGGGGGGCAGGGGGGGGCGGGGAGAGGACCAAGCCCTAATGAGCAGATTTCACAAACCGCCCGGAGTGAAAACAAAACACAGACGTGCACATTGCCCAACTCCAGGGCTGTATGGAAAAGGGGGGAAAAAAACCAATAAAAAAATCCACATCTTAATACAAAAATCCTCCACGATGTGTTGTGGCACGAAAGTGTTTTTCACTGCATTTTTCATCTGTGATCTCACACAGCCTACGACGGGTACGCCCAGCGCGGCGAGGGTTTGGTGGTAGGTACACAGACAGAGCAAACACATACACAATTAACCAAAACAAGGGCGGCCGATAGGCAGACGGGTCCACGCTGGCATCTCCTGGCTCCCCACGGCCTCCGGAGATGGCCGGGCTGGCCCAGCGAATGGGTCCCTTTAGATTTTTCGCGGGGAAGTAAATGGGGCGAGAACACAGCTCAAGTGGAAGTTCTGAATTCTCAGAACTCCGCACACCGGCCGGTTCGGTGGCCTTTCTGTACAGGAGGGGCTGTCCTGCCACCCGCTGGGGACGGAGAGGGGACCCCCCGCCCGGAGCCCCTCCTGCGTGCCAGTCACCCCACAGTTGCTATCTGTCTCCCTTTTGTTCCACCCCTCCCCCCTTTTAATTGTTGGATGAGTTTACAGAGCTGTGAGCCAAAAACAATCAACTCGAGGGAACAGAGTTATACAAAAAAGGGCGTGTCGCCAGAGGGAGACGGGTATCCATGGAAACCACCACCTTTCCACGGAGGCCTAGGTGAAGCCAGGGTGAGGGGGATGGCGTGGGGGTGGGAGGGGCGCTCCACCCGCAACAGGGGCCCAGAAAATGCTG